ATATTTTATTTATTTTTGAGATAAGTTCTCATTGTTTAGTCCAGATGGGTCTTGAACTTCCTGTGTGGCCTACCTAGGCTGGCCTCGAATACCCAGCAATCCTCCTTCTGTGGCCTCCCAAATTCGGGAATTACAGACATGTGCACCATGCCCAGTTTACACCATATTTTAATCTGGATTAAGAATATGCGATCTATGATGCTACTGGTTTTAAGTGTTTATAAATACCTTGATAACAAAATTTTTTTTTTCTTTGAAGGCAACAGACCGAGAGGGAGACCCCATAACATATGCCATTGAGAACGGGGATCCTCAGCGAGTATTTAATCTTTCAGAAACGTGAGTTAAAAATTAAGTGATTTATAAATTGAGTTTTTTCCTTTTTCTTATGTTAGACACTGTACTGTTAACAAGAGACCTCTAATCAAAGGGTTTCAGCTGTTTGTTATTTTATTATAATTTTTCCTATGAATATTAATGAGACTTGGAAGAATAATTCTGAACCTAGAAATCTTTCCCAGGAGACTATTTATTTTAAACATTTTTCACTCAGTAAAATCCACTGAGGTGGAAACATTTTATTTGGAGACATAACCTGGGATTAATTAGATACATTTAAAGTTGTGAGCCATTCATGACAAGGACATTTCAACAAAGAGTAACTTGGCACTAGATTGTGCATTCAAAAGAATTTTGTAAGGAACATAAGGGACACATTCAGATGAAACTGTCATCCTTCAATTCTGACTAACATAGAAAAAAATTTATGAATGATGATTTTTAAAATTAATATCTGTGTTTCATCACTGGATAGCCTGAGTTCAATCCCCGGTTGCACCAAAAAAAAAAAAAATCTCAATCACTGGATATGACATGATACTTAATTATAAATTGATTTGCATATCTTTGATGAATATTGGGAATTTTGAATATATTTTAATGTTCTTTTAGGTCAGTTAAATATCACGTTTGGAAAAATGTCTATTCAAAGCCTCTGCCTTTTTTCTTTTTAAGCAAGTGTGCTTAGTTATTTAAGGTTTCCTTATTCTGAAAATGAGATGCTTATTAGATATGTGGTCTGCGAATATTTTCTTTCCTGCACTATGCATTTCCACTTTCTTGATAATGTCCTTTGATCATAAAATTATTATAATTTTCATAAATCACATCTGTACAATATCACTTTGCTTCTTTTTGCAGTGGTTAACATGTATAAAAATTGGTTGGCAAATCAAGTACCAGTGCCAAGTTTCCATCTGAGAGGATTATCGTTGTAGTTGTTTCATTTATTTAATTTTGATTGTTGACCTATTTTAAGCTCCTCTCTGTACACTCTATGAAGTATGAATAGACTCTGTATATTCTAACTATTTTGTGTCAACTGATAATTGAGTAGTCATGGCACATGTTGTTATAAGGAATATTCTTTCCCTTTTGAAAATTCATCTTTGTTAAAAATCAATTGACCGGGGCTGGGGATATAGCTCAGCGGCGTAAGTGCCAGCCTGGCAAGCGCAAAGTCCTGAGTTCAATCCCCAGTATCGCCAAAAAAAAAAAAAAAAAAAAA